ACCCAATCTTTACAATCAACACAAATAAGAGTTTGTGGCTTAAGATGTCTTTTGTATGAATCAACTTTGACTACTGTGTTCATTCATGGCAACCACACCTAGAAGATATGCTGTATCACTTGAGATGGTTAACTGTGTGGTAAGAAGAATAATAGAACTAAATCACCTTGAATACAACAGCTTCAGGAATGGTTGAGGGCCACAGGGCTAACAGCACTACAAACCAGGCATGACAGGGCGGATCTTATTGAAACGTTTAAAATACTGAAGAAATTGGAGGATGTTGATCTGGAAAATTTCTTCAAAAGGTCAGATGTAACACAAACAAGGAGCAATGGTTTCAAGCTCAACAAGCCACAATGTAGGACTGAGAACAGGAGATGCATTTTCATCCACAGGGAATCATGGAACCGCCAACATGCCGCCATAAATGCCAAAACTCTGTTGGTTTTGCCAGTTTCTTTGCACTTGACTTGAAAACTTCTTTCAACCAAACTGTAAGGAGCTTTAGACACATGGTATCACATTGTTGCATTTGGCCTTGGATTATAACTTGATCCTGTGCTAAATTCTACTTCTCTCAGTGTAGAACAGAAAACTCTCACTCATGATAACAGTATAATTACACTGTATGTGTATATATGAGCAACATTCTTATAATTATTGTCAGAACTGTAATGCAAATACTGTATTGGTGACCTGAATTTTCTGTTTCCCTGAAGCACTTACAATAGAGGTTGTACTTGTTGAATGAAGTCATTACACAATGAATCCTAAACAGTATAGAGGTACAGTATTTGGCATTCATTGTATCTTTAGAACAATTTCCAGAGAACTTCTAGATTATCTCTGGCACTGTAATTACGTTGAAAATTTGCCTTTTTTCTTGAGTGATTAAAATCAAGTCATCTTAAAGTCTACTGGTGAGTAATATTTTATAAAAATCTTATGTAACTAGTAAAAGGCTCAATGATTTGTAGTTTTTTTAGGTACCATTTTCCTACTTTGAAGTGAAATATGACTACTGTATAGCACTATTACATCTTTCTCTGATGCACTTTGTGAATAGATTAATTAAAACAGTTATTAATTCCCTAAAGCCCCATCCTCTCCCCATGTCCCCTTATATGACATCACATGAAATTCCATCTCCTGGTGCTTTTACATTCTTCAGCACCTGACAAAAAGTGCTCTAGTATCTAGAAGAGCATCGGGTACCCTTTGGAATGTATCGTTAATTCTCATTTCTTTAATTGTATTGTTGTACAATTTTTTTAATAGATCTGTGTAAAATTTATGAGCTCATGTTAAAACAAAATCGTTATTACATTGTTTATTATAAGGCCATTTTTAAATAGCTATGGGATTTTTCCTATGGTAAGTCTTTGCTGTGTTTTTATAATGGACCAATTTCTTTTCTTAAATACCAGAGTATTATTGAGTGAATATATATATATATAGCCTCCTGTATATATTACTGGACTTATTAATAGACAGTTAAGTATTCAGTCATCCAACTGATTTCTTCCACATGTCATTTCCTTCTTTGCATTCACTTTCTACATATCATTTTCATTAAAATTATCATTGCTCTTATCTTTTTGTCATTAGTTTCTTGTTTTAACATCAAGTATTTACATAGATATAGGTGTATTTCATAGTGATGGATAACTTTCTTCAGGTTATAATCATGAAATAAATATTTGTTTACTAAATCTGTACATTTGAGGAAACTTTTTTTTTACAGTTTTGCTTATTGAAACATAACATCCAATGTTTATTAGCTCTCACCAATCTATGATTATTGATAGATCTATACTTAAATAATTGACCTAAGGTAACCCACATCATGAAACATGCACTGTCTGTTGGTCTACTTCATTTCTCTTTCCATGGAACCTTATCAGATCTGTTGCCAACTAGCTTTTATTGAAGGAATTCATGAGAAGTTAAATTATTGTTCTGAAAGAAATTACATTACGTTGTATGTTTACCTTTGTTAGATCTTTGTAGAATTATTCACTTTCTAAATCTTAGTTAGATGTTAGAGCATCATACATATCTAATATTTTCAGAACAGTCTTTGCATATGCTTAGAAATATTGTAAATCTCCAGTGTGATTATTTATTCACTATTGAACTATAAATCATATCTTTATTATACATGTCTCTCTTCTTTTCTCTCTCTACCTCTTTCTCTTCCACCGTCTCTCAACAAGCATGATCTTAAACCCATACAGTAGACAGCTCTGGACCTGTGGCCCAATGTTCTATCGTGATTATTCTTACTTTTGCATATTTATTACAATTAAAGTTAACATTCTAAACCTTAGGATTAGGTCTTCCCATCAGGGAAATGCAGTATGGTTTTGCTTTTTTTTTTTATATATATAATATCCTTTTACTTTGTTGATACCTTAAGAACATCTCCTCGGATTGACTTGAAATGTAAATATATAGTCTTTATAGAGACCATAATGCAGTGCTGCTTCTTATAACAGGGAGTGTAACTTTTCCCTGATGATCATTTTGAGAACATATACCAATTTCTTGGTGGGTCTTCATCTCCGCACAGTCTATTTGCTTCACATCTGTGTCAGATAATTAGGGTTCGTCATCACTCCCTTTGGGACTGATTACCTGAGGGCCACTAGTAGTCTCAACAAGGACAGGAAGCCGGCAGCTTGTCGAAGGTCCTTCCATTTGCCTTGATCTTCTCCAGGTAGATTTTAAAACTTAACACTGCAACCTGCAACATGCAACCTTGAACACAGTTTCGGCATTTTGGCATTTCAAATGCCTGTGTTGTTATCTGAACTTTGCTTGTATCGTTTATTTGGGCTAGGTGTGGTTGATGGTTCTTTGCTGGTTTCTGGGGTTTTTGGCTTATCTCCAGGTAGAAATCATGTGGTGCACTCTTTAAAAGTACATAATGAATTATCTGCTTTGCTATTTCCTCTTCAGGCCTTTCAGAGTTCTGTGGAGTCTTTTTCCCTCCTTTCCTCCAGCTATTTGATGATATTTCCTACATTGGATGAGGCTCTTTATTTAACTTTCATCATATAAATTTTTTGTTTATTTGCCCATGCACCCTCCATTTTTGTCCTGTTTTCACCAAGCATGCTTGGGTGCCCTCGGCATCAGGGGAGATTGCTGGTTCTGTCAAGCTTGTTGTGGTGGTGGTGATGCTATGTGTCTTCCTAGCCAATAGTCTGCAGAGTGAAAATTCAGATTAATCTTCACTTAAAAGCTTTATATGGCTAATGTTCATTCTTTTGTATTATAATAAGGTACAGTACTGTAATCTCTTGGTGGTTGCTGAAATTTAGTTCACTACTGTCTCCTTTCGCCAACAATATAATCATAAGTATTTGTAAAGTTAGTAAACATGGTGGGTGAACAAGTCATTAAAGTCTGGTTGGTGGAAGGTGTGTATGGTCCCATATAGGGTCTGGCTCGAGGAAACAACTAAGGGACGGGCTCAGAAAAAGAGCCTTCTATTTCAAAGAAATTTGTCATATGTAGTGTTAATAAGAATTGTATATTCATTATAAAACTTTTTCTTCTTGTAGATGAGGCCCTTAGAATTTAACTTGTGTAGTGGAGATAGAACTTAATAGTGAAGATAGGGCTTGTGAGGTAGTAACAGAACTTTAAAGATAAGACTTTTGAAAAGAAGCACTGTATAGGAAATGGAGACACTAATGCAATAAATAGCAAAGGGTGTGCTTTATGCAGACAATAAGTCACGATAATGTGGCTAAAAATTATGTATCCAACACACAAATCTGAAAGTAAAAGAATTTACAGTGTTTGATCCATTCTGGACCATTATCAAGTCAGGCAATGGATAAAGAGTGCTAGACAAAGTCAGTTTATAAGAAAAGAGAGAAATTTGAAGAATAAGAGTAATGGTAGAAGTATGGGAAATGGGTATAGGAATAGATTTCCCCCCATATGCAGGTGATGAGTCACAATAACGTGGCTAAAGTATGTAGACCAGACCACACACTAGAAGGTGAAGGGACGACGACGTTTCGGTTCGTCCTGGACCATTCTCAAGTCGATTGACTTGAGAATGGTCCAGGATGGACCGAAACGTCGTCGTCCCTTCACCTTTTAGTATGTGGTCTGGTCTACATTTCCCCCCATGGTACTTTTACCCTTTCCTATACTTCTTACCTACTCCTATTTTTCAACCTTCTTGCCTTTCATCTCAATCTCTTTCCTTATAAATTTACTTTCTCTACCACTTTTTTTTTTTTTTAATTACTTGACTTAATAATGGTCTAGGATGGACCAAAACATCATCAGTTCCTTTACTTTTAGATTTGTGAGTTAGGTGTCTAGTGTGTTGTACATTACGGTAAATATAGTAGTGGTTTAGTAATTATTTCTGATTAGCGGAGAAGTTGCTCATGTAGTGGGGGTGATGCATAAGAGGGGAAGGCCAATATAGTGCAGTGCTTCATAGATGGAAATAGTGCTTTAGATCTGAATAAAGTAGTGCTTTAAATATGAAGTTAGTGCTCTAAGGGTAGCGATCACAAAGTCTGTGCACGAGGTGTGCACAAGGTCTGGAGATAGTATTGTGGTAGTCAGTAAGAAGTTTGAGTGGAATAAAATCTAACTTTTAGTTGTGTAAGTTGTGCTTTTGATGCTGCATTCATGGAACTGCTTTTGTCACAGAGGGCGGAGAAACTTCAATCACCTTCACTGTTGCCAATATCCAGTGGTTATTAAATTTTTTTACAACAGTAAAGTTAATCATTATAATATTTTCATTTTTGAATTGATTTTGTATTATTTGTAATCATATTATTTTAATTACTGTATCACTGTACAGTAATGTTCTTATATTTTATATTATTAATGGCCCTACTATTATTTATGTTATAATCATTATAAATATCATTTTAATATGATTAATATTATATTAATACAATATTATCGTAATTTTTATTAATAGCACTGAAATCACTTTCATTATATTTCTGCAGGTGCCTAGTGATGATGTCTCTCCTCCACTTTCCTCACCGGAGAGTACTGAAACACCAGAGAGAAAAACTCTTAAAAGTATATTAAAACGAATGTCCCGTGAGGATTCTAGAGGAAACCTCTTACCCCCCGATGGTGCTGACTTGCGGAGACTTATGAAGGCTCCAACGGTTGAAGGCTTTGTAGCCAGAAGATCTAAACTTAGCAAGACTGTTTCATTCCAGCGAAAAACACTGTCTTCTCCACCTCCTCCAGCTCTTCTTGACGAATTGAAGCACTCGCAACAGCTTGATACATCTGGAAACACGGTTCCTGAAATCCTGCCAAGCAATTTAGCCTCACCAGTAGTAAAGGACCCCCCAGCTAAGGACAAGAGCAGTGATAGCTGTACAACCAACACAGATGGCGTAAATAAGCTTATGGTGAAACTAGGATCAATGGGTCTGGATGGAGCACAGGAGACTCAAGCTCAAGATTTAGTTTTAGGAGTCAGAAAGATTCTCAGAGACAAAATGGTCAGTTAAGAGAATTTTAATCTCAAATATTTATGTAGCTTTATTAAATCAAAAGAAATTGTGTGTAATTTTTTTTTTTTTTGTATGTGATGTTGTGAAACAAATTATGTATACTGTACTAAATACATGGGTGTGGAAATAGCCTTGACATAAGTTATTCAAGAAGTTAACTACACCCCGACAGTTGTTGCAGACATACTTGAAAAAATGGACACCTGTTTTACAAATCATATACTGTAATTAAGTAGTAAACAGGTACAGTATAACTATATTAAAGGATTTGTTATAATGCAACGTTCCATCTACGGTAGATTCCTACTCAAACGGAATAATTTATTTCAGATTCCTTCTGGTACCATTCAGTCACTATTTTGTCCACTATTGTCATTAATTAATTTGTGCTTATTAGTACAAGTGATAGAACATCTACTTGAGCAGCGTTTGAGATCAAAGCCTGTTTACAAAAATTTATTTTAATTAAAAAAATATTTTTCTAAAGTTGTTATAATGTTTATCAGTTGAAGGATAAATTCCTTCAGATAAATTCAAAAGGAATTCCTTAATTATCTGAAGATCTTATCCAATGATTCCGATCTTTCATTGGCCAGGTTCCATTGGACTGGGATTCTGTTATGTTGCTGGAAATGAGACCGATGAAAATACAGTGACCCCTCATTTAATTAAATAATTTAGTCTGTGTAATGACTTCACTCATTTTTGTTACTTTTAAGATAGGGTATCTTTTAAGGTAGGGTATCTTTTAAGATAGGGTATCTTTTAAGATAAGTGTTCTTATTTAAGTTCGCAGAAATTTTCTGGTAGGGACCCCTCAGTAGCTCCCAGAGCCAACTCTAGGACTAGTACCAGCGAGTGTTAACCCAACACACCAGGCCTCCGAGACCTATGTCACTTCAAGCCAGGACTAAAATCTGGCTTACTCTTTGAGGCAAAAGGAGATATGAATCAAGAGATCAAGCACAAAACTGGGAAAAATCCATCAGAAAGTATAGGCATAACTAAACAAGTGATTGCTTGAGGTAAATTAGGCATCCCTAGGTAAATAATCAACCAGACAACAGCTGAAGTCACTCAAGAGTTTTATCTAGTCTACCTGCCCTCACAATTCTGCCTGATATAACTCATCCAAAACCTATAGCTTCTGCCATGTAGGCGTCTTCTCATTGGCTTCTCTCTGTCAGCTGGCTTTCTTTGAAACATTAAACCAGGTTTGAAAGCTGCTGACTTTCCTTGAAACATAATGTTCCTCCTGGAATTATTGCTTTGTTTTTATTTATTAATACTTGTACACCAACATGTGTGTGTCTTAGCATTTACTCAAAGATCCTACCAGCTCTAAGGGGTTGCAGGCGGTGTCCCTCTCTCTTGCCACCTTGCATCTGCACAATGCACATTTATTTATTTTTTCTGTGCAGGACCTGTTGATGGAGAGAGAACAGTCTTTTTCAACTTAAAAACAGTAGCTTTGAAACATTCAGACTGTGTGGATGTGCACATTAAAGACCTGCCTATTGTGTTGGCTTGGGCTCTTGATATTTCATGATCAGTGGCTGCCAGTACCCTCTATTGCTGTGTTCAAGGTCAGGTTTGGTGTTTACTTTATCCATACACATCTTTTGCACTTAGTATACCTGTTTGTTTGGCAATGGGGTTGGCAGATATCCCTTGTCCTTTTGGGGTTAATTGTCTGGTATGTGTTCTTGGTCGAGTTGTTATGTCTTCCCTATCTGATTTTGTTCCAGATTTTACTTTGTGGATTGGAGATCCTCAGGATGTTTTTCAGTGTTTTTAGGCCCTAATGACCATTCCTATTCCCTCCATAAAGTGGCTTACTGGATTTGACTTAAAGTGGCTTACTTACTGGGACTCACACATGAGTCCCTTTCATGTGTGGATATGTGCCATTGGTTAGCTCTGGCCTTCAGTTTTGGCTGGGCTACCTTCAAGTGTGGGCATTTTCTTTGTTGGCTGTCCTGTTTATGATGGGGTCACACTTTCCCTGTGCATCCCCACTGTGTTTGCTTCGCACTTCTCTCCTTACTGCATTCATACTGGAGATCCATTTAATTACCAGCTTGAAATTACATTCATTTTTAGCACTGTAGGTTTGCCACAGCTCTGCTAAGCATTGCCTGAGATTTGGGTTACTGGTGGAGGTGGCATCAAAGGTTGTCTCCTCTGGGGTTGTAACAGAGGATGTGAGGGCCTACTCTTCCTGACTGCTTCCCTTGTCTTTTGGAATGGGCCTTAGGTTTCAGCATCCCAAGGATTCAGAACCTCTCAGATTGAAGAAGCATTTAAATTTGCAACATCAAGAAGAGGTAATAGATTTAAATTTATGTAAACAGTATTGCTAAAAATGTTCCAAAACACACCTCAGAACAGTGTGTATATGGATGGCATAAGTTAAATGAAAGGATACTTGTATAACAATACTAGTACAGTAGTAGCTTAGACATTTTAGCTGATAAAGATTACAGAGAAGACAAGACACCACAAGTGTAGATTTCATCTTGTAACTGCACATAGTTAAGGATATTATTGTCTTGATACAATGAATTGTGCTAGGATGGAACCCTTTGATGGGGTTGATATTTCTACATTTCATATTTTTTGTATTCTAAATGTCATTATTAATACAATAAATAGACAGAGAAATCACATTAACGTGATATATCAATGAACAAATCCACAGGATCCGTGATGAGGGGTCGAACCTGTGTGCTGGGTGTTCCCAGGCACGCTTTAGTCGACTGCACCACGACATGGTAAAAAAATTGTAACCTGGGGTACTACTGCACCCACAAGGGTCCCGAGGCTTCCACTGAAGCCGAACCGGGGTTCCACACAATTTTCCCCCATGCACTTGGGCTCTGTCATTTAGTAATTCTACCTCTTGACTTCTTCAATACATGAAGAAATCACATTAACGTGATATATCGATGAACAAATCCACAGGAGCTGTGATGAGCATTTGAACCTTTATGCTGGGTGGTCCCAGGCATGCTCTATTATCATGTCGTGGTGCAGTCAGTCGACTAGAGCATGCCTGGGAACACCCAGCGCATGGGTTCGAACCCTCATCGCAGCTCCTGTAGATTTGTTCTTTAATACAGTAAATATTAATACAGTACAAACTATATATTTACCCTTCATAAAGCTTCCCTTGACACTACATATATGTCCTCTGTTCTGCAATGAGCTTTGGAGACAGCTGTAAATATCATATGCATCGAGTAACATAACAAAGTTTTAAGAAATTTCAAGATAAAATAAATGTTTCAATATCTAAATAACTGACTTTCTAAAATTTACTTAAAATGTAATTTAATTATTCAAAATGTATTTTAACAAATAGAATTTGCAAGTTTTAAAGTCAAGAATAACCTGTAATTACTACAGTTATAAATGCTACACAGCTGAAGTACAGTAGTAGCTTTCGAGATTGAATAATTGTGCGTCTAGAATAAGGTCATCTGGATATTGTTGCCTCTCAATGTGAGATGAATAGTGTATTGATATAAAGTGAAAAATTCGGGTTTAATAAATGAGTAGAGGGACAGCAGCATGATGAACTCCTTTTAAATGTGGTGTGTCATCTATTTTGGTAAGTTTATGACATTGATCAAGAAATGAAGAACACTTCATTCAACATGAATTTATATAAATCTAAAAATTTAATATTTTGTATACAATAATATTTTTGTATAAGTTACCTGGATAAAGGAATCACTTCAGAAATCCATCTCTTTCCATTTCCATCGATGTTATGGAAGTGTCACCCTTGTTTAGACAGGCATAGTAATAAAGCACATTTGCTATAATTGTCTAGTATGAATGTGGGCATAGTCATGGATCCTGATGAACCATATTGGATCATTGGGATGGTCTGTAATAATACCTTCTGTGTAAGTGAAGTATGGAATTGATGTTATGAGTTGCCATTGAGTCGTGGAGAATGAGGGGAATCTGTTACTGTACTTTCCTCTGTATCACTTGTAGAATGTGTGTGTGAAAATTATCTCCTAAGTTGTGGATTACAAGAAGACATATGACTAGCTTGGTCTCCTCTAGGTCATGAGAAGACCACATGACTTACGGGAAAAGTATATGATAGTCTCCTCTGACTTATGAGGAAATGTGTGTAATGGTCTTCTCTGATTCAGTGATCATTGGAAGATCATGTGATGTGTTCTGGACTTGTGTATCATGGGAGTATGCATAATGGCTGTCTCACTAATCATGGTCTTGTGGTCTCTTTTACTTCTTGGATCATGGGAGGCGTGTATAAGGGTTTCCTCTGGCTTATGAGTGTGTGTCTCATGGATCAGGTGCATGCATGCATTTCTTTGTGAAAAATATGGTTATCTTGGGATCCTTTGTGGACTATCTATCCTGTACGTTATGTGAGAGTGCTTTCTGGGTTGAAGACATGTGCAGTGTATGTGATCACTTATCTTTCATGGATTATAGGATGTATATGAGTGAGAGTCCCTGGTCATAGGTGGCAAAAAGTGAATTTGATAAGGCCATCGTGGATCATATATTGCAGGCAGGATGTATGGTGGTTTCTTCTGGCTTATAGATCATTAGAATGTATGATGGACCCTTGTGGATTTTGTTGAGAATGCATGATTCTTCCCTCTGGATCATAGAGAGGGGCACACAATGTTCATTCTCTACTTCATGGACCCTACAAATGATTCATGTTAAGAACACTGCATTCACAGAGACTGCATTTCCCACTTTTTCTAGAATTTATTTTATGTTCACGCTTGTCATTTGGCCAGGATGATGTTGAGGTAGCATGGGTGGCACGGGTAGAGGAACTACAGCAACAACTGGAAGCACGGGATGCCACCATCAGACACCTGACACACACCATCTCTCGGCTGCAGGTGGGTTCAGTAGCTGCCCTGTAGCCTCAGCACAAGGTAGCTCGCTCAGAGAATGAAAAACAGTATGTGTATGATTGCTTTTCTTATATGCCTTATTGATTCAGTTATGGAAATTAGTTAATATTAGATATAAAATGTGACTGAATGTGTGAAACCTGGACTAAAGACAAATTACTGCAGTACAATATGGTGCGTATTATTAAAGGTCAGTTTTGAAAATACTGTACTGTACAGTGTTTATCGGAGATGCTCGTGAATCATTTTTTAGTAATTATTAAAAACAAAAATTCAGGGCATTGGTCTTTATGCATAATATATAAAGATTTGACCAATAAAAAAGTTGTGTATACAGTATATATGTGAGGAATATGATTTTTGTATATTTCCATAAACTTATTTAACCCCAAATTAAAATTGGGTAAGTTGTAAAATATAGAGATGGCAGAGAAGTAAGTGTAATTAATTGAAATCATATGATATTAAATGTTGCTGCACAAGCTCATTATTGCTAAATTAGATTGACTAAATGACTAAATTAGATTTTCAAATGACTAAATCAGAATATAATACACTATACTAGACTCAAACATTGCTCATCTAAAGTACTGATCTGCTACTGGAGCCAAAGAACAAGTTTTTTCTCTTAGGTTCTGTAGGAGGAGAAGTCAATAACAGCTTTGATATTTTTTTGTTTATTGTGAAAAGTTGATGGGTATGAATAATTTATTGTCTGATGGAAGATGTTGGATAAGCCCACTGATTTAGCTGAGTGTGCAAGCTGAGCAATCATTGATTATCTCAAACATCATTAATCAGGTAATTAGATTACTCAACTGTCCAAGAACACATTACTGGACTTATGATGGGGTACAGTTCTTGCATTCCTGCTGCAGGTAACACCACCTAAGGTTAAAGGTGTCAATGTGTCAAAGATGACCAAAGATGATAATCCGCCACCTATGTACTCCAGGTGCGTAAAGACGGCTCCTTTTTGTGAGCCTACTATAAGCATCTAGCATGATCAGTAAATATGAAGTTTGATAAGAATGCGTTACCCATGATGGCAGTGTTTTGATTTCACACACGTGGAAAAGGAGCCTTATCTGTTTGTGCTGAGCTGCATGTTTTCTCATTAGCTGATAATATTTATTTGTTGTACCACTGTGACATCCATACTGACAGCAAATAACTTTCAAAAATCTATTTTAAAGAGATTAATTACAGTGCAGAGTTTATTTTTCAAATCTTTCAATCCTTGCACTGTGCTTTTTGTAATTTATTTTGAAGGTTATGTTTTCTTATGTGACCCTGTCCCTCCCCCCTCTGGCATTTTCTGCCTTTTACGTGCCCCCCGGATGTCCTCGTCGTGACCCTTGCTGACTTGTTCATGGCGTCCTGTGAAGGCGGGTGTTGAGAACGAGGTCATTGTCACTGAGAGCAGCCAAGTCAACGGAAGCACAACCAGATGTCCAACGATTGTCAGGTCATCCTCGTCTGATGCCAGCAGCGATGGCTCAGATGACGATGAGCCACTCTTTATGGTAGGTCAGACGATGATGATCCAGTCTTTTTGGTTGGTCAGATGATGGGCACTCTTTATGGTAGGTCAGATAATGATGATGAGCTCATCTTCATGGTAGGCCAGATGATGAGCTAATCTGTATGGTAGACCAGAAGATGAGCTAATCTTTATGGTAGGCCAGATGATGAGCCAATCTGTAAGGTAGGCCAGATGGAGATCCAATCTTTATGGTAACTTAATAGAGTTACTCAATAAAACATCTAAATTATTGGGACCCTTTAAATTTTGAAACTCTGTACTACCTAGAGTACAGACTGGAGAGATACTTACCATAGTAATTTACACTTGGAAAAATATTAGGAGGACTTGTTCCAAATCTGCACACAGAAATAACACCATCTGAGACCAGTAGACAGGTCAGGATGTGCAAAATAGCCCCATTAAAAAGCAGAAGTGCAATAGACATGCTGAGAGAAAACACAATCAATATCAAAGGCCCGAGACTTTTCAACCCCCCCCCCCCCCCTACACGTACAGGACAAAACTGGCTGACCTCTTAAAGTGTTCAAAAGAGAATTTGAAAAATGCCTTCAAAGGATACCTGATCAATCAGGCTGTGACTCATATGTCAGGTTGCGAGCAGCCACATCAAACAGCCTGGTTGACCAGACCACCAACCAGGAGGCCTAGTCAGAGACCAGGCCACAGGAATATTGATCCTCGGAATCATCAACAGGTAAGTCAGATGATGAGGGCAATCTTTACGGTAGGTCAGATGATGAACCAATCTGTGTGATGTGCCAAAGATGAGCCATTTCTTATGGCTGACCAGATTATGAGCCAATCTGTATGGTAAGCCAGATGATGACCCAATCTGTATGGTAAGCCAGATGATGAGCCAATCTGTATGGTAAGTCAGATGATGAACCAATCTTTTTGGTAGGCCAGATGATGAGCCAATCTTGATGGTAAGCCAGGTAATGACCTACTCCTTTCGGTCAGTCGCATTGAATTAAAAAATGGGACCAATATCTTCCTCGTAGGTGCCCATATCTTGGGGATATGTTAATGTTTTGATTTGTTTCTGGACATCTTAAAAATAATACAAAAGATTTGTTTCAAACTTGAATCATGTATGAGCACTCATATTATGACGTGCTATATTGATTCTTGGATATTTGGGAAAACATTTATTTGGAGGAGTATTTCTGAACAGTATTTAAGCATTGAAGTGGTTGTTTTACCTCATATTGAGAACATGCAAGATGCTGTATTACGCAAGGTTTGCACTTCTAAATACATTTTTATTCAGAATGATTTTTCTTCTATTTTAGGCATGTTGAAGACCTCATTGTCTGATATCTCGAATGTGTTTCAACAGAATTGATTCTGATTTTATAGACAAATGTGTTGCAGTCATATGATATGGTTTATTGCCTCAAGACTTTGTATTCTTCTGATGGCAACCTTATAGTTTAAATTGTTATTAGTGGGTTGTTGCTCATGGTCATTAAATTAACATAACAAAAATGTTCCAGCAGTGTTAAAATTAAACCCTGGAATTGCAATACGATGCACTGCTGTACAACTGGTAACTACTAATTCAGTAATGATGATGATAATAAATAATGATGTTAAAAAGAAATACTGTATATACATTACTTGTATTATATTATATACATGCATTATATAGCAATATTTTTGTATAAGGCATCTAATCACAGTGTTTTATGTCACATGATAAAAACTGAGTTACTAACCTGGTATTACCAATAGGAAACTTCAAAACAATTTAAGGGTTTATACAGTGGAATATATGTTTGAGTTTATAATTAACGTACTGTATTAGGGTCTCGGTAGTACAGTCGGGTTTGTTCTGTCCCCCGACATAATGAATTATATGTAACTACAACTATATCAAAATAATCTATACTATATCAAAATAAGCATTATACGACAAAGAGTACTGGGAAGACGGAACACCATGAGCATAGCTCTCATCCTGTAGCTACATTTAGGTAATTACACTTAGGCAATTACAATTTGTCATCTAGTTCCTCTTTTGTCCATGTGTTGCTTTCTGGTGGGCTGTAGGCATTTACGATTATCAGTTTATCATCCTGATTCCGAAACCTGCAATGCTATTATGTCAACTTCTTGAGGGTTTTCGGTTATTAACTCTTATCTTCAGGTGTTCTTTTACCAGCACAACCACTCCTTTCCCCTACCTAGTTTTCCTTTCACATCTCAAAACTGTGCAGCCCCTTGGGAATATGACCTCATTTAAGAAACATGAAGAAAATGTTATAATTCTATAAAACTCAAAGATATATATACTGTACTGCTGCTCCTACCTATTGTGCAAGTTTTAGCGAGTGGTGGATTTTGACTCCAAGGTCCTTTCCTACATCAATCTGTTGTAATGTAATGTTATTAATTTGATAGTTGTGAGTGGTTTGTTATGCCCCACATGCATAGTCTTACATTTGTCAATATTCAGAAGCTTTTGCCAGTGGTTCTGACCATTTGTGAGTTCATGTAGATCTCTTGTAAGGCTTCAGTATCATTATCATTTCCCATATTACCATAAATCTTTGTGTCATCTGCAAATTTGATGATGTGGTTTTAATATGCTCATCTATGTCATTGATGTACAGTACAGTATATGACAAAAAAGGGTAGGCCCCAAAATGGACCCCTGTGGCACCCCACTTACCACATTCCTCCATTCAGATTCATTCCCATTTAGCACGACCCTTTGTTTTCTTTGTTTTAACCTTTGTTTTATCTATTCTAGTATTCTACTATTTATTCCAAGTGCCTGTAATTTCCTAGCCGGTCTTTCATGTGGTACCTTATCAAAGACTTTAGCAAAATTTAGTATACATGAATTTTAGTAAAATCCATGCATACTAAATCCACCAAAAGTCCTCTTTCTGAGTAGCTGGTTACCGTTTCCAAGAATGTGAGCAGGTTTGTAAGGAAAGATCTATTTTTAACAAACCCATGTTGTGTTGATTGTATAAAATTGTTCACTGAAAAATGGTGAATGATTCCTCCTCCCTGAGGATTCTCTCCATGAGCTTGCAGATGCGTGATGTCAAGCTGATCGGCTGGTAGTTTTCTGCTGAGCTCTTTCTGCCTTTTTAAAAATAGAGGTGATAGTTGCATATTTCCAATCTAGGGGGGGACTACCCCTTGGTATTATAAATTGAAAAACTCTGAAACCCATTAAATGGTCTTTGGCACAAGTACAAAAATTATGATAAAATTACTGTAACTCCCGAGTAATATTTGTTTACAAGAATGTTACCATATTAATGACTTACACTAATACTTTATATAAGAAATGTCTTGAATAACCAGAAAATAGTTTGAAATCAGTGTGAAAAAATATAGCTGCAGACAAATTGATTGTAGCTAATGTTTATTACTTTTAACTTACATATTCAGTTTAAAAATATTAATTTCTTCCCTCTCATTGCATGTGCTATGTAATTTTCAATTTATTAACAAAACATTTCAATGTTAAGAGTAGCAACAAAAAATGAAAGACAGTAGGCCTACCAGAGAACCACATTTTAAATTTTTAATAAATTGTTTAAATACTACTTTCAGTTTTATATTGCAATTTGCTTACATAGTGTTATTTGTTTGCAGAGGTGCAACTCCATTGAATCTATTATCCACCAGTCACCAGAGGGATCCCCAGAAGGCAGACATGCACAGTTGGGGGCACGACGTTCCTGGCCGCACCAAACTTCTGTGGAGCAGAGCCCTGCTCAGCAAAATCGGCTAGCTAGATCTCTAGAAGACTCACGTGTGCATGGTGATGTTACATTAGATGTTGGATCCTCAACTGATGATGACATATGTTCTTTTTCATCTGATGATGACCATGTTTTATATGGTGACATTGGACATGAAACTGAAGAGCCTGATCAAAATGATGCTCTTGAAGATGAACTGTCTGATAGTATATTCACTGTAGAAGATGAAGATGATATTGATGAAGATGTAGAATGTGGTGAAGGTGGAGATGCGGAGCTTAATTCTCAGGATTGGGAGGTGCAGTTGTTGGCACGTCAGTTAGCAGAAGATCAACGGGGTTTTGCTCGTAAAGTAGACAGAGACATTGCAGAAGGCCGCCTTGATTGTGCTCTTGCAGATCTCCATGAAGCTTTAGCTACAGACAATTTAGGACCACTTACAGATGATGATCTTGCAAGATTAGAAAAAGCTGTGAGACGTGAACGAGAGAAATTGCGAAGATATGCTCGAATGTACAGCTTGGATGAAAGGCCTTTACTTGAAGATCAGTTTTCATCATTATATCGCAGTCGATCCCAGCTTTTGTTAAATCGTAGCTCAGAATTATGCCTGGCTGGTCCTACACAACGGCGCCTTTCATTGTTGCTTCAGCAACTTGCAAAAATGCCCCCAGCAGAGCAGTTCCTATTAGACCGTTTGGTATATACTACAGATCGCAAACGCAGGCTTTCCCGCCAGCGATCTTTATGTGATGAGCATCTAGCTTCATATAACTCGGCTCGTGTACCTATCAGCAATAGATCTAGTCGATCAATAGCAAACAGACGTTCATTGAGTGTGTGTTCTCCTCCACCTGGAGCTACTCCTGCAATACCCTTGAAGGAGGTTCATGGACCAGTGAGGGAGCGTGGGCCTGGGGGTGAGAGTGGTCCACCAACAGTGTCAGCTATGCTAGCCTCTTTACATCGTTCAGTTGCTGCTATTCGGGGACGTAGTTCTAGCAACAACCAAAACTCACAGAAAGAGGGAGCACCTCTCTTACGACCATCTAGGTAACGCCACTGTAGCAATACCATGGTCATTCGGCCATTCATTCAGAGTAATAACTCAAAGAAAGCAATAGCAGTATAAGCATGTTTGTGTTGTGCTGCTGCTACAAAATAATGTTCTTTATATTATTTTTATTAATGCTGTACCAGTTTACTTGACTGCAAAAACAAAAACAAAGCACTTTTATCAAAGCAATTTTTATATGCATTTAATGCAAAATCAGAGCATGGCATGCAAAAAAAAAAGGGCATTTACAATTAAACCATATTTTTTATATTTCCATTTAGCCAGTAGTAGTAGTCAGGAGAATGCTACTGCTGGTTATATATATGATAGGCTGCTTGCATGCAGCTGTGTGCTGAGCTAGATTATCACTTCTGTTAAAATGACAAACATTCAGGTACAGTATAAGCATTAAATCCATTAGAATCGGGAAGTGAGAATATTTTGGTTCATCTTGGACCATTATCAGTCTCAATTTTGTTATAGTTCAGAACTGGTCAGAGTTTTCACTTTTCCTGTCGGTAATTTACAATACTGGTTTGATGTTTACATCACATCTTTATTGTTACAGCAACATTTATTATTCAGGTACTTTAGAAGCAAATAAATAAAATTGGAACTAAATCTGGACAAGCGTGGCACTAGATATTTCTAATTGGTGGTACAGTATAGTATTTTAATTCTTAAAACTCAGTTATATTTTTAGATTTACCATACAATACATTTGTGTGTGGAGTGTGTGTGTATAATTACCAGCTGTAGTTACAGGGTGAGAGCTATGTTTGTGTATGTCCTGCCCTCCTTGTAATCTTTGTTATATGACATTTTCAGGCTATTGATGGTTTTGACATCTATCAACCTCTTGTCTAAATTGTTCCAACTGTACTCACCTAGTTGTGCTTGCGGGGGTTGAGCTTTGGCTCTTTGGTCCCACCAAAGGGGTAGCAGACAAAACTTTGTTCGCAAAAAAGAGCTTTGATATTTTTTCTACACTTTTATTTTCTTAGCTTGAAGGAGCATTTCCTATGAACTTTATAATTCCTGTCACCATTTTGTTTGTGAGTATTTTGCCTTGCTCCATTCACTTGTATTGTCTGTACGAATGTGTGTGTGTGTGTGTAAGCAAGCTAGAATGGTCCCTAAGCTATGAAATGTATGTATGTATGTATATATGTGTACCATCTTCCCAGTAGTCTTTGTCATATGAAGCTTTGAAACTACTGACGGTTTTGACATCTACCATTTTCTCACTTGTTCAAACCATCTACCACTCTGCTTGTAAAAGAAAACGTTATATTTTTTGGCACCTTTATTTCCTTAGCTTGGATCTATGATCTCCTGTTCTTGACGTGGCAGGTCTCAAGAATTCCTCTTTGTCAATTTAGTCAATTCCTGTTAATATTTTGTATGTAGTGATCATATCACCTCTTTTCCTTCTATTTAGTTTTGGCATATTTAATGCCTCTAGCCTCTCCTTGTAGCTCTTGTTTTTCAGTTCCAGAAGCCATTTTGTAGCATGTCTTTGCACCTTTTCCTATTTACTGATGTATAGGGTTTACTATTTGTGTCTGCAGAATCGAGCTATTAGCACTTGGACCCCCCCCCCCCTTTTCTAACCAATCTCTTTTTCCTCTATTATATCCACCAAATGTATTTCTCTCTAACACACGCAAATATCTCCAGGAAGCAGCCCGTAGCAGCTGTCAAACTCCCAGGTACAGTACCTATTTACTGCTAGGTGAACAGGTACATCAGGATGAAAGAAACTCTGCCCATTTCTTTCTGCCTCCACTGGGAATCAAACCTGGGGCATTAGGACTACGACCCCATAGCACTGTCCACTCAGCCTCGAGGCCCCCACGTGGGCACCATACAACTGATGCATATTCCAAATTTGGTCCAACAAAGGTCATAAACAGTTTCTTTAATACAGTATTTCACTATTCATGTACAGTATTTAAAAGCCATTCTGAAGTTGGATTGCGTAATATGTGCTTCTCACACATCTTTTATGTAGTGCTCTGGTGAATCATCTATCCAAACCAACCCCTAGGTCTCTATTCTTGTCAAAGTTCTATAATGCCTTTCTACATAATTTGTATGTTGTGTGTGGCCTATTTTTTCAGATTCCAACATTTTGTAATGTGGCATTTATTTATCGTGAATTCCATTTGCCAAGTATTGCACTATTTTGTCTAGGTTGTCTTGAAGGGCATGACAATCATCTTAGTTTGCTACCTTACCAAGTAGCTTAGCATTATCATCAAACATGTTCATATAGTTCTGTATTCTTTCTGGTATATCCTTTGTATAGACAATGAACATTACTGATGCAAGAGCCAACCCCTGTAGCACTCCACTAGTATAGAAATCTGTTAAAAACCTTTTTTAGGTCCAGATAAAGACAACTCATCTCTCCTGTATTTCTATCTCTGACAACTCAAATCTCTGTACAGTAGTTCTATATCACAAAAACTAAGTAGATTTGCTTCACAGGATCTTCCTGTTCGAAAGCAATATTGTCTGTCTGCTGTTGTATCACTTCTCTCCAGGTATTCTACAAATTTGGTTTAAATTATTTTTCTAGTATTTTGAATACTGTACCACACATGTCAATGGTATGGGTCTATAATATAGAGGGGTCTTGTTTGCTACTGTGTACCATTTTTGTAGATTAGAACTATGTCTTTTTCTACGTATTTGCTAAGATTCCTGTACTTGAAGATGCCTGAAATATCGTTTGAAGTGTTATGCTCAGCTCAGGTGCACATTCTCTCAGAACCCAGAGAACTACATGTTCTCTGGCCCTCTTTCTGTCTCTCCTCTTACTGCTGTCTAGATGTTTCTTGATTCTTTGTATTGTTGGTACATTTGATTAGGTCTCTTCCCATAATGAACCCATTCTTTTGTTCTCTGGCCATTTTTCACAATTTCTGTTGAACCAGTTCTGTATCTCTGTTTTTGGTATATTTTATGGGGGGAGCCCCTTCAGTTCCCCGGAGCTATCCAGGCTGATATGTATATTATTAGACTTTAGCATTAGTCAGTGTGAATGGAGTTCTAGGCCTATCGGGGACCACGAGTCAGAACTTGACCCCTCAGAGAGGCACGAGGAGCAATGGCCTATAGAAATGCACATGTGTGTGGAACATTCTATGTCTGCCATCGACCGGGCCAGGCACCCAGAAAGGTAGGTGCCTCAAAACAAACCCCTGTTCTTGTGAAAACTACTATAGAAAACTAACAAATAAACAGAACTCCCAAATTGAAAAATGAGCAAAGGAGCATGATGTCACATTTGCCACACCGCTTATCTGTGCAGCTCCTCCCTCCCCCAGGAGGGGGAGGGAGGAGCCCCAGACCCATTGCGCCAGCTGTCAACCTGCCAGTTTTTGGCTGATGTGATTGTGGCTAGGTCGTGTGGCTCCAGCTCCAGATTCTCTCTGTGTTGTACTGCGCCTTGTGTCCAGTACTGCTCTTACGGTGGCGTGCGAGATGGGAGTAACATTCTCAGGTACTCGGGCTGCATGTGCTTAGGGTTCCCTTCCCTGAGTGCCCTGTAAGTACTGCCCTTGGACCTTGGGGTTATCTTCCAAAAGTCACCTTGGGGTCTACCTCTGTTGGTCTTTTGGTGCTCGGTGATTGACCGCCCCAAGTGTATTGGGGGGTTCCTCTCTTGTTTACCTTGGGGTAAGTGGTAGTTTTTGCACTGGTAGTGGTGCGGGGTACTGCGCAGGGGTTTTCCCACGGCTCGCCTCCACCTCTTTCAGATGCTCGATCCAGTCCCTTACGGGGCCAGTTTGGTTCCTCCTCGATTTTGACTTGAGTCTATCACCACCTGTTTGGTAATGTGATCATGTGGCTTCATTGATGGTGTCCCACCTGCGTGCTTCGTCGAGGCGGCAGTATGGGGTTTCATGGCAGTTCTTCCTTTTTCTTTTTGTCTCTTCATAGGTATACTTTGGTTTTGTTGAGGTGGTCTTTTTTTAGCCCAATCACTTGGGCTGGACTGTAGAGACACGGTCTTGCTTCATGCAGGTCGGTGTTCTATCCCCGACCGTCCAAGTGGTTGGGCACCATTCCTTTTCCCCATCCCATCCCAAATCCTTATGCTGACCTCTTCCAAGTGCTGTATAGTTGTAATGGCTTGGTGTTTTCTCTTGATAGTTCCCTTCCCTTTGTCTTTTTTTTCTAGTGGGAGTTTCAGGACCGTCTTCGTATGCCACATTCTGTCACCTTGTCTCGTGCGGCATTGGCGGAGCCGCTACGGTTTGCATTCGATTTTGTTGTTCCTTCTGCACCGTTTCGCAAGCTGTCTAGGGCGTTGTTTCACTTCCGGCCTGCTCATGCGCAGCCTGAGCTGTCCTGGTCTTTGGACACGTTGCTCTTATCCCTTACCCCTCGGTTGGTTGTAGCCTTTGGTTCCAGATTGTTTCTCAGAGGTTTCTTCTCCTTTCGGTTCTGGTGCTAGGTTTGTTTGTTGCAGCCATTCTTTTTCTGGCGAGGTTGGATCGGCTGTTTTTCCGGAGGGGTCCCTGGGGTTATTGCTTGGTTGGTTTTGGCTGGGGGGTGCATCTTCTTGGGTCCGGTTGTGGCTTTCGGCCATTGCCTGTGTGCCATGGCCTTTGTGGCCCTGGACGCGCTTTGAGTTGCATGGGGTTCCCTTCGACCCTGTTCTGGGGTTCGGGTCTACGCTGGGTCCTTTCGGTGTTGCCTGTTGTCTTGCTTTCGTGTTTTAGATGCAGGGTTTCTGCCTCCTAGGTTTGTCCCTCTTTTGTCCTTGGCTTTGGGTAGGTAACTCCGGGGAGCCAAATGGGCTCCCCTCAAAAAAAACAGCGTTAAGTGTAATGAAACACCATTTTCTGGGCGAGACTCAGAGGCTCCCCAGCAACCCTCCCTCCCTTTCTCTTCTGGTTGGCGGGGTTTTTTGTGTTTTTTGACATCCAACCTCGAACTGACAGGTGGATACTGGGGCTCCCCCTTCCCCCTCCCAGGGAGGGGAG